GGAAAAGCAAAATAAAAGGAAACAATAACAAAAAACGCATACATACATACATACGTACATACAAACATACACACATACATTCCTAATGATAAATAATTTTTCCTCCCTCATTGTATAAAAAATTGAAAAAGTAAGAATAAAACAATAAAAATAGAACATAAAAAAGTAAAACAAAGGGAAGCAGAGAAAGGGACATAGAAAAAGAGACAGAGAATCTACTTGTATATGTGTGTTCAATAAACTAATTCCTGTTGCTATGCAAGTTGAGTGTGTGTCCAAATAAATTTGCGTTTAGGGAACAGAATTGAGAAACAGAGCAGCTCTCAGCTGAGAAGCCCACTGTTTTCGGTTGGCAAAAGACACTCTTGTTCTGCCCTCTAAATCTCTATTTTCTATGATCTCTCGCCATTTTTAACAGTTTTTCATCTTCTCTCTTTTTTTGCTCCTACATCTCCGGTGTATTTGTCTGTGCGTCTGGTGTTTATGTCTGTTAGGTATGTGTAAAAAAAATTAAGGATTGGCGTTTGTAAAAATGTGCGGATAATTTTGATGAAAGATGGGAAAAAACATTTACAAAAACTATTAATTAAACGAAGAAAAAAACAACGAAAGCAAGAAGTTGAACTGAATTTTAATTCCTCAACTTCTTCATATTCTGCACCCTTCAAGTCACGCATCAAAACTGACTGTACAAAACAGCGGTGAAAACTCATAAACTAAATCTCCCAAAACTTTAGTTTTTTCTTTTTTAAAAGTTAGACTGTATGTAGAAGCAAAAACAGCGTCAGCAACAATATAAAGGCGGCAACAGACCAAAGAAAACCCCTTTCTAACAAAATGTACAACGGCTGTCACCAAAAGTGAGCTACAAATTCTTACTAGTCATGCCAAATGGATATCTTCTTCCCTTCATCTTTAAACTCCATCGTCCTACCCACCAACTTATCGCTTCTTCATCTAGCTTCTCTCGTTCTGACAGTTTGCAGTTGTAGTTTTTAATTCACGTTTATCAAATGAGCCGTAATTCTGACTAACTGACTGCGTTACGTATTTTTGACCCTGATTGGCTAAATATTAGATGCCCACGAATGACAACGGCGCCAACGATTGTGCAAGCAGAAACTTGATGACATCATATTACGTTAAGCCTTGGGTTTATTCATTACTGTAGATCAGTTTACTGACACAGAATTCAAGCCCAGGTGTATCTGCTAAGAGCGCAGTCATTTCTAGGCACCTATCAATTCATGACTGAAAAAATAACCTTATCGGTTTCTGCCTTCTTCCCATTCTACACCCTCATCCTCACTTCTAGTGTTTAAAAATCCCAGCTTAATTTATAAACATCTCACATAAGGTTAATATCAGATGCCGACAATAGTATATCCATCTAATTAATGTTTTCACTTTTGGTGTATACAAGTCCTCAACAATAGTGGCTTTCACCTGTTTAGTTCTCCAAAACTTTTGCTACACTCTTCTTGCGTTCTATTGTAGCAAAGGCCAACAGCAAAAATTAGTTTTTTTGAAAAATTGAATTTGAACGGTGTTCTAGTTAATCACTATGCTCACAACGGGGAGGCAAAAGGCATTCTGAAACAATCTGTCTCCATGGCATCGGCATCTTTAATGTCGGCAAACATCAAATATTAATCAACTCTAGCAGATTCATCAATAATAGGCGCCAGATTTTAAACTAGCCACATCGTCTTCAGCAAGTCCAAGTGGAAAGTAAAAACTTCAAGACTATACAGAGCCCTTAAAACGTTGCAAATCCCATCATCTTCGTCGTCAACATCGTCATCGTCCTAATCATCGTCATTCTAATCTTCTCCCTTCGCTACTACAATTTCAGCCTTCTTTCTTCAAGTCTTCCGCAAGACAGAACTTCAACTATAAAACCTTTCCATTTTTCTCTAAGAAGCAGAAAATTCTTTTATTTTTATTCTTTTCAATTTTTCCTTCGTCTCTTACTTTTTAACGCTTCTTCTCTGAATCACATCACATCGAAAAAGACAAATTTTCCTACATCACACTTCACAAACATCAAAATTCTGCAATACAGTAATCAATGTGGAAGAGAAAAAAAAAAGCAAAACGAAGAAAAAGCAAATAACGAAGTTTTGCTGTCGGTAGGAATGTTTTTCCAGCCACAATGGTCCTTAACCTCCTTAATCTCTATACGAATTCTCTACAACTAATTAACCAAAAGTTGTTGAAAAATTCTGTTCTCGGTTTCTGCATGAACTAAATCAACGAAGGAAACTTGTAAAATAAAAGAAAGCGCGAAATCTTAGCTAGACCGTTAACATAACGCTCTGCTAAAAGACTCCTCTGAGCTTAAAAATTCAATATTTTAGGAAAGTCAACTTCCTCTGTGTCCATCACTTCTCCTAATTCATTATAGTTTATTTGGATTACTTAAAAACCACTGGTCTCCTTTTTTTTTTTCAATTTTCTAAAAATACAGTAGACAGCAAAAACCATCTGATAGTTTAAAATCATTCTGCACATCACCAACAGGTTTAAAACAGTAGCTAAAAAAATTGTCGCAAGTCAGAAAGCAAAAAAAGAAAGAGAAAGAAAAAATAAAGTAAGTAACAAAAACATCAATAAAACGAAAAGAAAACTGTGAGCTGCATATTAACCGTTTAGTGAGTGATGTTTAAGATTAGTACACATCATCGGCAGAGTTCAGTAGAACGATATATACAGCAAAAGAAGAAACTTTTAAGACTAAAAATTTGCAGTATATCGTTGGAATTTGATTTACGACTAAACTGTCCAGCGAAAAACCGGCAAGACAGTTTTTCCTATCACAATCATTTCTGAAATACCATCGACTCCACAACTCAAAAGTTTCTCATCTACAACACTAAAGCAGTGCAGAAAAAAGACGCAAAAAACCTTCCTAAAAAAAGCTATAAATTTTTTCGTGTCATACAAAAATTCTTAGCTGTTTAAGCTTCACAGAATATGTAAAACTTTTAAACATCCACAGTATTCCATCAACTAAACACTGCGCAGCTCACCAGCCACCAAACACATACAAGATTGAACAGTACGCCAAGACAGCTCTAAAAAATTACTACCAAAGCCTAATATGTCAAGTACCTTCTCTTTCATGACTCCCAGTTCCATGTCGTCTCTCTAACCACAAAATTGATAAATCATGAAAATACAGATATAGGAGAGAAAAAAAGGATAAGAGAAAGAAAAAGAGGAAAAACAGAAAAAAATTGAGCCAAAATCCGTCATTTACTTTCATCTAAAAAAACTGGTATTAAGACCTTCAAAACAAAAACATTATGTGAGAATACTTCCGTTTTTCTCAAAACCAAATTAAAACCCAGTTTTTTTGATCATGAAAATAACCAAAATAAAGTTCACGCTGTTGAATAGCAACATCATAGAAGTTGTTGTACGGTCATAACCACAAATTGAAGTAAAAAAAATTTTTCTCTGAATCCGAAATTTGGATAATCAAAAAATAAACGAAAAGAATCCGTCGTTTTACTGGTCAATTTTCATTAATTACTATAAATACGTACAAAAAAAGGTATGCGGGTATGAAAAATACAAAAAGCAGAAAAATTTTTTCGACAGAAAAGTCGTTTACAAGAAAATCAGATAAACTATTAAACATAATCATTTTATTTTTTTAACTTTCTTCTGAAAAACTTGCCACTAATTGCCGTCCCTTCTAGGTTCCAGTACTGATTTAGAACTCAAATTATCAGAAAACTGATACAATTACTTGTAAACAGAAGTGGTAAAAACAGCAAAAACAAAGAAAAAAAATGACTTATCTTAATCTTTCTTCATCGCCTCTGCCATGACCTCTAACCTTTTGAACTCGTCGTGATTGTTGAAGAAATAATAAAAAAGATTTATAGGAGAAAATTAACAAAAAAAATGCAACAAAATAAGTTTTATTGCAAAATATATATCAGTTTTATTTGTGCTTCTCTCTTTCTGCAATAGATTAATATATCCGATAGGGAGGAGAAAGAGAGTAACTGACGGGATCCGAATGTCATTGCTGATTGGATAATAAATTATCCGCACGCAACAACATCTCTGTCTACGCCCTCCGCAAATCCCATACTGTCTCGGCGTAGCAACAATATTCTTTACCCAATAATCGCTTCATACTCCCTCTGTTTGCTACCTTAATTTATTAAAATTTTAATTACTGTAAGCCCGTCGAAAACCCATTTTTCCTCCTCTTTCCTTCTTCCTCTATTTTATCCTCTTTCCACTTATTTCAATCCCCATTTATAGCTCATATTGACTTTTTGAAGAAAAATGTCTCAAAAAAAGCAATGAAACAACAATCGTCGTGAATCCTATTAATACAGCACATAACAATCCTTGACTTACAATTTTTTGGTGACAAAAAACTATATATCCCCCTTTCTTCCAATAGGAGAAAACGAAAGCAACAAAAATAACGCCAACGACAGTACTTTGAATAGAAAATTTTAACAAAAAACTGTATTCTAAAGCAGAAAACTGCAGAAAAAAATTGTAGGACTTAAATTTTGAATCAATAAAAGCAGCAACAGTAGTTTCACAATCATGACAATAAGAAGATTATTCAGTCACTAAAACCTTCAATGACAAAAGAACTGGCTTTCCTTACCATTTTAATCATGTCCTACCATCCTTCAAAAGTACGGAGAGTGCAGTTAAATGTAGCTGTTAATAAACGCACACTCATCAGTATAAAGTAAAACCTAAATCAAATATAGTGTCATAAAAAACAAAAGTAGCGTAAAATCAACGTCCCGTACCATCCTGCTAACCTTCACTTCTAGCAATTTAGTTTAAAATAAGAAGAACCTCAACAAATTAAGCCAGCCTTAACTTTTTTACATATCTCGACTGAAATATACCTGGAAACAGCGACCAGACAAAAACAGCAAAAAAAGACCATTTCTTCTAACAAATAGAAATATTTTAAGAATATAATCGAAAATGTAATATATAGTCGTAAATCAAGCATAGTTGGGATTTACGGCTCCCGGGTATTGCCTGTTTTTGATCTCTTCAAAACAGCAATAAATCTCAGTCGAGTTCAGTCTTAAAAATAAATAAATAAATATAAATATATATATATATATATAT